ACTAGATATAAAATAATATAATAATATATTTTATATACTGTAGATATTGAAGATATAATAATATTGAAGAGGATTGAGTCAGCGGACATACTGGGCATTTCAGCTGGTCTGTTTTGTACGTCACGCAGGCCCGATAGGTAAAAATAAAAAGGAAGGGAAACGTGCCTCAGCCTCCGGCGGCGTCCATAGGCACCGGCCTACCGCGACCGATGGCCCCCCGGCGTGATAAAAGGTACGGAGCGGCTTATTGTAACAAGTTTCTGTTTCTTAGATGTTTATTTTTGAATAGAGAATCGTCCTGTAAATGTATTTTTGTAGAGTATAAATATACTGCATCGGGATAGCTACGGCCAGACTTCGGGGTGATAAAGACTTGACTCCATGGCAGTCCCTCCCCGCGCCTCTCTGTTTATTTTGGTGGATCTCCTAGCCTCACCCTGCCATCGACCTGCTCGGGTATGTGCACAGCGGCGAAATGGCAGAAGGTATATAAAGGCGTTCAAATCTTCGCATTTCATGCCATGTCTGCACTGTGCATTTGACTCTGAGCTCAGAAAACCTACTGCATCTTGGGAGTTGTCTCCTTTAAAACAGGAAGCAGGAGCCTAGGGCCAGTCAGGGGCCCAGCTGCAATCTTCAGGCTTGATTGCAATTGGTGGAGGCTGGGAAGCCGCCTGTCACAACACCGGGGAGGGTGGACTTGTAGGCAGTTGGTGTCTGATGGGGCCACACCAATACAGACGATGCAGAGGGAGTAGACTCTCTGAGCCTAGCGCAGTCCTCATTAATAGTGATGACCCTGGGTTTGATGTTGGCTTGAGATTACCCATACCCACTCAAAACTCTACCCGCCACCCTCTCCTCCTGACCCAATCAATTGCAAGGAGGCGCATTACCTGCCTGCAGATATACGTCACAAAGGAGCGTGTAAGATCCCTGCCGCAACTGCCGCCATTGATTGGGTTGGGAGAAGGGGGTATGGGTTAGAATTTTGAGCGGGCTTGGTTGAACTTAGCCGAACTGGGTTCATAGCAAGTCCAGCCTCATCTCTACTTATCAACTGCAAAGATGGTGGGAGGTTGGCAAAACTACTACCTTGCCTAGGGCCCCATTCTCCGATTGTAAAATGCCACCAAACCCTGGCAAAAACACCCCTCGCCACCCACGCCGAGGGGTGAATGCAGCCTTCAAGACTACACCAAATATAATTCCTCCTAATGGATTTATCAGACACATTACCAATAAATCTACAACGGGTTCCCTTATAAAAGGTCACATGGCACTATCACCCCTAGATGACACTGGCCTATATAGGAAATTCCTATACTAGTCAACGCCATCTAGTGGCAACTTTTATCAATGACACCCCAAATATTAAATGTGTTTTGGATGTATGTAGCATATACTCCCATGGAGATCTGGCCATAAACTGGTCACATTTCAGCCTAGTCCTGCTGACTCAGCCACAATTCCACCAGTGGGTGGCCCTATTGGGCACCCTAATATGCTGGCACACACTACTCTTTTAGATGTAACCATTTGCACACCATAGAGCAGGTGTAGCCCAACTCTGGCCCTCCAGCTGTGGTGAAACTACAAATCCCATGATGCATCTCTCTCTGGGAGTCATGTCTGTGGCTGTGAGAATCTTGCAATGCCTCTTGGGATTTGTAGTTCCACCACAGCTGGGGGGTCGGAGTTTGGCTACCTTTGCCATAGAGGATGATTGGGTCATATAGAGCAACGTAGTTTGCCTGAACCAACATGGTAAGGACACCTCTCCCCCCCACAATGCAATACGTGTGCACTTAGTAGACACAATGATCGTGCTTGTTGTTGGAGATAGAACAGTATTTGCATACTGGGTCCACCCTGGAGCCGGTCCATATTTCCCAGGAACCCCTGGCCCGGAGACATCTAGATGAAAGGTTTAACTTTAATAGGACATGTACCTGGCACTTGTAGTGCCTCTCATCACATGTCTATAGCCATTTGTACTGTGTGATCCAGTGACAGGCTAAGATGACCTATCATTAAAGGAGAACTATGGGGTTAGGACTTTTCCCCATAGTTCTCCTTAGGGTAACGGGAGGACACAAACTAGCGTCCTCCTGTCACCCTAAGCTCAGTATATAGGGAGCTACAGCTCGCGGTATACTGAGACACCGCAGCCGGAGCGAATCCCAACAATTGTGCCGGGATCCGCCCAGCTGAGTGAGTGACAGCTGGCTCTGCCTATCTAGAGGCAGAGCCAGCTGTAACCGCCCCCTCCCCCGTCCATTCTGCCAGTCAGCGCTGGAGGATCGGAGCGGAGAGGGGGGAATCCAGTCCCTCCCCTGTCACTGCTCTCTGCAGGGACAGGATCGAGAGGTGAGCGAACGCCGGTATGTGTCCGCTCACTTCGCGATCTACTGAGCCGACCTGTGACAGTCTCATTGTCACAGGTCGGCTCAGATTATGAGGCTGAGTGAAAATCACTCACCTCATAGTTGTCCTTTAATAATAATGAACTGGGTACACATTTGCCTAACCAACCCCCATTATTATTTTGAGTGAAGCACAAGACAAGAGAGACAACCAGATCCAGGAAACGTGTCTGTGTGTCTTCCTGGAGCCTCTGCATCCAATCCCTGGCTAAGGATCCTCAGGGGCTTCCTTAAGCCCCCAGTGTCTTCCATAAGCCTCTACATCCATTTCCTAGCCTATGATCCTCGGGGGCGGAGCTATAGACCAAGCTGGATTTTCCTGATTGACCATTATTGCAAGGCTAAATGTGCACATAGGTAGCTTTAGTTTACTGTTACCTGACTAGCAGGAGCATTATGGGCCTTTCATGTCATTAGAGCCTGTTGTGTTCAATCAGACAGACCCGGTCCTGTAGTGAGATGAGGATCAGCACAGCACATAC